GCATTCGCTGCTGTTAAAGTCTAATAAAGGTGAATTGTTCAGCACCGCTCACATTCTTTGACTTTTTTGCCAATACAGATTATTAATTTATTATTTCTACATAAGCAAAGAACCAAGGATTGACTTTTTATAAAGTTAACTTGAAAAAATTAAGTAGAATTTAAAGCCATAACGTGTGTAGCAGGAACATAATTACATTGTATTTATATTACACAATACCATGAAATAATACAGACAATTTTAAAAAGTTAGAGTTAAACTTTTAAATATTGTTGCTGCAACTTATAAGGAAATATGTTGACTTTATACACTGATAATATGGTAACAGTAGTATATACTGTACATTCAACATAATCTTTTAAGTAATTTTATATAAAAAATAAAGTAAGATAACAATAACAATACTTTGATTTAACAAGAATTAATTTCTTGAGGGACAGATGTACAATAAAATCAAATAAAGGAACTTTTTTTCAGTGTACGTTAACGGTATAGATGATACAAATATTGTGAACTGAGCACTGCAGGGATTTGGGTATCTACACTCAAAAAAAGATGTACTGGATTTACTTAATCCAGTTATTTCAACAATTTGAATGTAAATTGTTGGTATAACTTGGACATATCACCCACCCCTTTATTTGTTGTTGAGTTCAAATGTTGAAAACTTTCTTTAAAGAAAGACGAGGGGAAAAACTGTCTTGATCTGTGTGACACTTTCAGCCCATAAACCAAAAGCAACCTGGAAAATACTGAATAACTGCCGTAATGCAGGTCAAAATACCGAGTATACCTTATTCATAAGGTGGGCTACGGACTGGATCAGGTCACAGTGTTTCTCAGCCAGGAAGCGGTACCTCCTCTCTTCCTCATCCAAAGCCTCCTGGTGGCACTCCCTGAGGAACTGCATGTACTCCCTGCTGTCCTGAGGACACACGTGCAGAATACTGAGCAAGGACATAAACATCACATGTTCAGCTGTGCTAACCCTCCAGGATAAAGAAATAAAAAATTGCTTGGGGAGAAAACCACGCTGACCTGGCCGGTTCCTCTTCTCCTCTGCCTGTCCATAGCTGCTGCCTGGTTGTGAACCGCCATCTCATATTTCACCCTGCTGTCCTGTGTGACAGTTCACAACACATCTATGTGAATTTATCCCCATACAGAGAACCTTTTAATTGTGTATTTTAAACACATGAAAAGTCATGTTGTGACAAAAATAAATCAGATTATTTATTCCAGAATATCTTAACGCTGGGTCTTTTATAGATATTACATCATGTGGGTGTAATTCTATTGAGAAAATTATATTCTACACGTTCCAAAAACTAACCAGCTGAATGAACAAAAAGCAGTTGGAAAAAGTTTCCCTTTGTCGTTAAAAAAACCCAACACAAAACACAATCTGGCTGGTTCTAGCTTGTTTTAATAGGGCCAAGTTTGTGTTTTTTTAAATATTTTTTTCCATACTTTATTCCTAAACTATTTTATTCCAACTCGCAAAGCCAGTTGTGTTTGCTCAAAGCTCAACTCATTTCAGTTACAGTTTTAAAGTCCCTCAAATGTCCAAACTTTTGTGTTAATGTGAAAAAATGGTTAAATATGTCAATCAAAAGCATGGTTCTGTTTATCTCCAGCTTGGTCCTCACTCACTGAGATGTAATTTCTATCCAGTCGAATGTTGCTGTCCATCACCTGCAGGACGTCCGTACTGAACCTGCGGACCTACAACCAGAGATACAGAGGCATATTTCTGTGAACAAACAAGGAAATAAAACACTTTTTATGTCATTTTTTTTATGATAGAGTGATGGGATTAGTGCCGGTGGAACTCACCACTCCCTCCAGCTCTGAGGTGAGTTTCTGTTGGTTCTTCGATATCTGAATGAGGACATCTCCTTCAAAAAAAAAAAAAAAAAAACCAGATTCCTTCATCAAATATAAACTTGTGATGTTAAAATGAAAACTCACGCTTGTCGCTGTAAAAATCAGTAAACTTTACTTAGTGCTCAGAGTACGTGTTGGTGATGACTCTCAGCCACAAGCACACCAAATTCTACCTCAGTGTCTGTCAAATTAACTAGGTTATAACTATATGTGTGTATTGTGTTCACTAAGGTTATTACTATAAGGTGAATTGAATAGAGGTGCTATCAAGTGAGATTTCTCAGTTGTAGAGAGCAGCCATATTGTTCAGGGCAACTGAACAGACAGCACTGTCAGCTGGTAACTATAACGTTAAATTTAGCAGCACATCAATAAAATTCAGTTTGCTACTGACAACCACTATATTGATTTGATAGAAATGTTTGTCAGTGTCAGTATATACGATCACATCAGGTAAAAACATGTTGCCAAGGTACACACGTCTGCAATGAATGATGTTTCTAACAGGCAGAAGCTAACCATTGAAAACGAGGCCCCCACTCGTTATTCATCCCCACTCACCATAAACTATAAACCAATGAAAAACTAATATTTTTACGTAATTCAATGCAGAAATATAGCCATGACGAATAGTTTACATTGACAGCCTGCCCCTCTCATTGTGGTGTCACGCTTCTGTTACAGTGAAGCGTATGTGATACCTCCAGTCAACATAACGCATTGAGTTCTTATCTGTGGTAGCCATCTTAAATTAAATCAATCGTGTGCAACTGTACAGCCAATGCATGTTTCTTTATTTTAAAAGATTCATTCAAATCTCTCCACCAGTTTATTACATTTTACTTATTAATTTTTCCTTTATTTAACCAAACAAATCTCATAGAGATCACAACTCTCTTTTGCATTGTTGCCCAAATCAAATTCTGGAAGTGGTCATTCAACTAGATCTGTTACAAAAGGACAACTGATTTTACCAACTTTTAAAAACTGTTATGGCCAGAGGTCTTTCTTCTATGTTTATACTAAAGCATGGAATGACGTTCCTCAAAACATAAAGTCCATTTCAAAACTACAGCCCTTTAAGAAGAATCCTGTCTGCCATCTGCTGGACAATTTTTGTTGTGCTCATATTTAGACGTCCTATTTTGCAAATGCTGCCTTCCTGAAATTTGGAATGCTTGTTTGTCTTTGTGTCTATGGTGTATAATGATGTGATTGTGATGCTGTAATTCTGAGTGTTTTATGTGCTGCAGAACAGGAACCTGCTGTAAAACAGCAATTATGCTGAGTCAGGCTTGATTTTTAATAAGCTTTTCCTGTTAAATAAATCAATCAAATCAAAATCAACAAATATTCCTGTAGGTG